TTAGGCTAAAAGTAAAGTAACCGACTAACAGGCCATCATGTGTAGAGGATCAAATTTCATTACATGAACTAAGCGTCAAAGACTAAAATGCCTTTGTTACAAGAATTAAGGTTACAACCACATATAATAGTCTCTTGTAGCATTTCAATCTCATCTTTTCCAGCTCCAACTCTTTTCTGTGATACCTAATACCTTAGTTCTAATCAAATAAGTTACAGTTTCTAACAGATCAGAATTCTCTAATCTACCATCAGATCCCAACAACCAGCTATTCTCATCAATGGATTCTACTAAAAAGAATGTTTTAGAATCGAAAAACAACGAAGATTTTTGAGGTATTTGCTCCCTTCTTAAAAGAAACATTGCAAAACCTTCCCATTGTTCAGAAAGTGGTTCTCTGGGTTATATAATTTGAAATGCTTCAAGTGTAAATCCTCCAAATCACAAGCAACAATCCAATCACTCCTTAATCAACTAAACTGAAACTTATGATCAGGAATCACATAGATCTTCAGATCATAGTGAAAAAAACAGACATGATAGATAGTAAGTATGAAAACAAAACTAGGTGTGGATTAGCAAATTAGCTAAACAACGACACTTGTTTCAAGAAAATCATCATACTCCTTAAAAATATACCCTTTGTGCAACTAATTCCTCAGTCATTTAGTCAAAGAAACTCACAATCATAACGCAAACACCAAACGATACTCACGATCTAAATTTGAACATAAAATGAGAAACCTAAAGAAACCTTTGTCCAATCTAAACAATCACAGGAACATGTTATTTACTCATCACTCTCAAAAACCCACACCAAGTTATTTGCCATAAACAAGCAGGAAATTCTACTTTAAGTACAGTTTCTAAACTAATGGCTTCTTACAGGATTTCAACTCAAGAGTCTCCATTGCTCCAAAAAGACAGAATCATGAACACAATTAGAAAACGATACAGATTTCCTCATTCATCAAGTCCAAAACATGAAAACTCTAGCTTAGATTTGGTCTTACCTCTACAACTATTGGTCCTAATCTAAATCAAGATCAACTGTTCAACAGATAAATCAAGACAAAACGTGGAAGCACACAAGTAAATTAACAAAAAAAAGTCCTTACCAGGAAGCAAATTATTGTTGAATCCATATAATATTGCAATAGGGAGAATCCACATGAACATTGATGCAACAAGAAACTTCTGCATAACCCCAGCCATTGCAGCAACAACACTACCAGAAGATCCGAAGTCTAAATCCAATTACGAAACCACGAATCAAGGAAAGAGATTCAAAAATCTGCATCTAGGGTTTACAACAAATAACCTTAAACACCACAAATTAAGCAAGCGACGAAGAAAGAAGAAGCTTACGATGAATCTAGCGAGTTAACTCGGTCCTTGGACTCAAGGTTTCAGAGTATTTCCTTGCAATTTGCAAAGTCCAGATTTTTTTTCTTCTTTTATTATTAACCAGAGTGATTGATATACATTACCACATTTTCAAACCGAACGTAACCGGTATTATCCCACACGATTTCAATTTGGTCCGGTTCAAATACACTGGGTGCCGTTTCTAATCACTTTGTACAGACTACATGCCGTTTTGTTTTTCTTTGTTTTCATCAATTTCTATGATTTCCAAAACACACTCTAAGCTCTGCAAAATACCAATCAGGTACATTAGAAACCAATTTTACTACTTTAATATTTCAACACCTTAGAAATCATGTTATATACAAATGCTTTTCAGGTGATTAAAATGGTCGCTTTGCAATAATAATAAGCTAGTTGAGTATTAGAAGGAACAAGACTTGTATCCTTCTCATGGCTCCTACCTGCAGTCTCTGCTTAAAGGACCAGTTGAGTCCAACTTATACAAATTTTTCTGAATTATATATCTGTCTCTTTCTGATATCTCAAGTCTATTACTCATTTAAGTGTTGTCTGAACAGTCTTTCCTCATGTGATTGGTATATATACCGATCTTGTACTCTGAAGTGTGTTCCAACGGCTTTATTTCATACCGAGAAAGGAAATCTTGATCTGGTTTTGTGCGAGGATTTGTATTTGATAAAGGCAACTAGAAATAAAACTTGCTAAAAACACCAAAATTATCATTCCATTAAAACATTTAAGGAAGCTAACAACACTCCGAATAAAGGACAAAAAGGAAAAAAAAACCCAAAACACTCCTTTGAATGCCTAAACAAGAAAGTATCTGCATGGGAGCTAGAGATCAGGAGCCATCTAGTCGCAATACATTGCCAATATATAAAGGTCCGGATCCTCGCGCCTCCTTTGGTCGTCGTGGTCACAATCTCTAGTAGCCAGATCCGGGGGTGAAACCCAAACTCGACGGCTTCTCGTCTTCCTCTTTGTCTTTGGGAAGTTAA